ATTCTTCATGTAATTATAATGTTAATTTTGGTTGGTTATGGTTCCTATCACTATTGTTAATATTACAGGACCCGGTGGTTAAGATGGAGCTCTCCTCCCTCACTCATGCCATGAAGAGACGATACATGTTACGACATGTGGTAAGCCACACCTACCAGGACGAGACCACACCCAATAACAAAATACCATCTCTCACAGTTTACACATATACATGTACATGTAGATCACAAATGTGATAATACTTATATTATATCGTTGTACCTAATTAAACCTCAAATTCCCTTTTAATTGTGATTATACACATAGTTTTATAGAGTATTCTTAATGTAGAGGTTACACTGTATAAAATATTAATATAAACACTGTATACCGGTTTTTGGTAGAATATATTCATGGATTTTATGTTTTTTTTGCTCCGTTGCAAAATTTTTCCTACTGCAAAATTCTGCATCTCCAATGACACATGGTAAAGTCTGCAAGCTATTTGCGAAAATTTATTTTAGAAATGCAAGATTCACGAAAATTTTTTGCTGCAAAAGTAAACCAGTATATGGCATAAAACTACACATGTCAATTTGTACATGTACATGTACGTCACTCCTCTATTTAATTTAATAAATTATTAATGACATTTTATGGACATTCTCCATTCACCAGTTAGTTTATATTGTCCCATAGGGTCTGGAATTATTCTCCCGAGGGGGTCAGAGTATATTTCTGGTCCTTTCCTCCACGTCAAAGAGGAACAGTCTCTATGATAAGTTGGTGGGGGTGAGGGGTGTGTCCCTACAGGTTCCTGATCTGACTGATGCTACTCAGAAGTGGCAAACTGGAGAACTATCTAATTATGATTACCTCATGTTCCTTAACTTGTGAGTTATTAGTAGTTATTAGTGGTTATTAATAGCTATTAGAAAAGTTATTAATATTGGCTAATAGTTATTAGTACATGTGTTAGAAATAGTTATTGATATTATTAATAGTTATTAGCATTGTAGTTAACGGTAGTTATAGTTATGTATGAGGGCTAATGTTTTTTAATGTTCCCTATCTTGGCGCTAATTTTTGCTGAGAAATAGATTTTATTATTTTGAAATAGCAAAATCAAATGCACATAGAGTCACTTCATTAATGTTAATACTATTACTAATACTAATATAAGATTCAAAATTAAATACACACAAAAGCTACTCTCTTTATAATACTACAAATGTCTATTACTAGTACTAATGCTATTCTAAGTTACATTACATGTAGATTTTTGCTTGAAGTTATTGTTACTAGTCTTGTTTTGATAGAAAGTCACAAACTGTTTTCACTTCTTCTCCAGTGATACTATACTGAGCTCTTGCTTGTATCTCTGTACCACTGAAGTCCATAGATACGTCATATTTTCTCTCTTTATTTGGTACATTATCAGGATTAGGAATGTCAAGTACCAGTTTACCAATCTCACGTACTGTTGGCTTACCTTCTTTATCAATGACATACTGAACTCCATCATCTATTGTACAATATATAGGGATATGAGCTTGTGTTTTTTTTCTTTGAAGAGGTATAAAAGTAGCTTTATGCACTTCATCCTTTATCTCTTCTCCTTTGAGTACAAATACCTCAAAAGCACAGTCACAACGCACTACACCATCTTCATCTACAAACTTGTAATGTTTATCATGTTTTGATGGGTTGAATACTGGAGCAACAGCTACCCCATAGGTAGCATCAGCAACACGTGATTGGATTATGTTAGGATCTTTCCTCCACATTACTGCTCCTGATACAACAGCAAGATCTGGTTGTACAGGACACACTATATTATCATAAAGCATGTTGCGATGCTGAGCGATACTTCCTTGTATCTTTTGGCTAACAAACTTACACCCTCCAAACCCTCCTACTAGATAAACCGTATCGACTCCAATAGGCTTAATCTCATCAAATGCTGCTCTCACACACACAAGGATTTTATTTATTGTGGATTGGAATACCTCCTCCAATAGGTCGTATCCTATGGTTAATGACTCATTTTCTGGATTATAATGCATGTTCATCTTCTTTGGTTTTTGAGGGATATTATTACCATAGTGCCTGGTAAAAGCCCTTGGCAAGGACAATGCTACTCTTCTGAGACCTTGTGTCACATTTCCAAATATTTTTTTCTGCTCTTCAAACTTTTCGTAAAATATTCTATTTAGTGTAGCTTTGGCACTAATGGGATCAGATTCTAATAAAACCTTGAAATCTTTATCATTTACTGCTTCTTGTAATTTTTCTGACAATGCTTCATTGATGGTTGTTCCTCCCCAGGTGTTCCCCATTGGTGGTAGTACTACACTAATTCTCCCATTACTCTTATCATGTACAGTAATATCAACTGTACCTCCTCCTATATCAACTACCATATATCTCTGTGGAGGAAGGCCTTTAACTTCTGACTGATGCTGTGCAGCTATAGCAGCTACTTCTGGTTCTAGAGCTAATGATAGCTTCTGAGGATTAACCTCCTCTGGACGTGGTAAAGGGGAACCAACTGGAGTGAACCTTGTTATACCAGGAGCATCAGAAGTGAGACCAGCCTATCATATTAACATAATGAAATACAAAGCATGTATTAGGTTACCATATAAGCAGCTTCTCTCATCATTCTTCTTGCTCTTGCTTTCCATATAGAAGGAACAGTAATAACCCAATCAAAATTAGTTGACTTATAAAATCCTCTGAAGTGAGCCTGTAGCTTCTCCTTGAGGTGTGTTAGTATAAAAGCTATAACTTCAATAAGATAATAAGAACCACCAGTGAATGAAGAGATTTGAGTAGTGCGATCTAATGACTATGGGGAAAGTATTATTAACTGCATGTTTGAATATGAACTTATAATAGTTATACTTTTTCTCTCTCTAGTGAATTCTTTATTCTTTCAAAATATATAAAGTTGTTAGCGTCTTTCTTTATATCACTGTATACAGTGCTCTGTGCTTCATGTCCAATTCCAATGACTTGGTATTGTTTCCCCTCTCGCTGCTTCTCAATTAGTATAGCATTAGGGATTCTTTCCAATGAACTATGAAGTGGTAGAACTTTTACATCTCCTCTTGTTGTTGGAGTGGTATATGCTACTGATAGTGAT